TCTTGTAACAGGTGTTCAAAAACTAACTACACATAAAACATGCTGGTACCCAATCAATTAACATACACCCAACCTTTATGGTTAGAAATTAACAACATAAATCACAAATAATTTCTACGCTTTGTAAAACTAAATAAAAATCAAAGCACTTGAGTTAGCATCGATCATAAACTGAAATATTTGCTGCAACCCACCCCACCTCTTGAGAGATTTCACGGCAGATGCATAACATACTTATGATATAGTTACCAGGAACACATGCATTGCTGTTGCTTTCCAAAAAAGGGCCATCAACTCTGAAGTAAGTTTTCTCCTCAAACTCTATCACATGACATCCTCCCCGCCCAGCTACCACTCAATTTATGGTTTCAATCAGCTCTCCTGCCACATAGACACTTTCAGCAAGCTAACTTCTACGACTGCAAGCTTTACCCACTTTGTTCATTGCAGTAAGAGTCCTGATGTTTATTGACGTGCATAGTGAACTTACTCAGGATCATGAGATGGGCCGGTCATCCTGACGTCGGCATAAACCAGCGAAAGTTTCTGCTTTTGACAGTAGCTGTTGATCTTGTCCATACACTCACGCTCCATTTTGACACAATCTCAAAAAAGGTTCTGCAAAGCAACATTCAAAGATATGTCTGTGCCTCCAGGCATAGTAGAGACAGGCCCTAATCCTGCTGTGATGTAAAATAGAAAACTGGTGCCAGTAACGTAAAGTTCAAGGAAAACTAGTTCTAATTTCTAAGTCAAGTGGTTGATCTGCGACTGTTTTTGAAGACTCATTGCTTGGAGTGACAGATTTAGAAAGCAGAGCAGAGAATTTAGTGACGAGAGGAGATTTCTTAGCAGATTCCTTGGCAGGAAAAGGCTGAACCATTCACCGAATCCTGTGGAAAAAAAAAAATCAGTAACGCTTCTCCAGACAGAATCAGAATCGATTCCTTCAGAGGGGAGCCAAGAGGCCGGTTAGCATACCCTTTCAAACCGCGGTGACTGCCAGGCTCGGTGACACACACCGAAGATGAAACCAGGCTCCCGGCCGCGGAGCAGCCGGCAGGCAGCCGC